TCCCTGTCGGCCACCTGGGGGGCCTCCGGGCGGACCCGAGGAACGCAGGGCCCGCAGCGATTGTGGGAGTGAGTGTGTGTGTGTGTACGTGTGTTTGTGAGCACACACGTGTGCGCGCGTGTGTGGTCGGCCTGGACCCCGGCTCCGACCCTCCGCAGATGGCAGATGCGCGAGCCCTCGGTGAGCCCGGTGGTTTCCATTTTCCTTTTGGTCACCCTGGGCGCTCACCTTCGCCTTGATTTTGAGGAAATAATCACCCAGATCCCAGCTCCCCGGAGGGAAGCATCTGGTTCTCCTGCGCTCCGCCCTCCACCCACCGAACATGCGCGACCCTCCCCTGGGCTGGGAGCGGAAGGGGTGGCCCCTCGGGTGGGACGGCTCCCGGGGCTGACCGGCCTGGGGCACCGGAAGGTGCAGATCTCGTGCTGCGCGCCCCGGAGGGTGTGGGGCCGAGGTGACCCAGCCCGGCCTCCGGGGCTTCTGGAAGGAGAAGCGGTAACTGGAGCTATCAAAACGGAGAACAGCTGGCCCTGACCGGTTTGGCTCAATGGATACAGCATCAGCCTGCGGACTCAAGGGTCCCAGGTTCGATTCCGGCCAAGGGCATGTACTTTGCTTGTGGGCACATTCCCCGGTGGGGGTGTGCAGGAGGCAGCTGATTGATATTTCTCTCTCATTGGTGTTTCTGACTCTCTGTCCCTCTCCCTTCCTCTATGTAAAAAAAATCAATAAGATATACTTTAATTTAAAAAAAATTAGAACAGCTAGCAAGACAGTAGAGGCAACAAGTGCAAGTTTACCGTCTGCGGCTGCACACTATTTGCCCGAAGGTCAGCTGTTGCCACCCCCTGTGGCACATTTCAAAAGGGGCAAACGGGCTCGGGTCGCTGGCTCCTTTGACGTGGAGACTCGCGTTGGGTCGGCAGTCAAACCCGATGGACGGGGACTAGCCAGACAGAGGGACCTGGGAATACTCCTGGGGTGTGTGTGCTGGAACAGGGGCTGAAATAGTGGGACAGTGTCCCCTTCGCTACCGCTCTTACTTTACTAGTAAAGCGAATTCCTCAAATTGTTAGGTAATGAAATTGTAGTTGTTACTATTGGAAGGTCCTTAGAACCCCATGGACTCCAAACCCTTCACTGAATTCCTGGGCCCTTGTTTTTTTTTCTGTTTCTTAAGGAAAAGGGGTGGTTAGTGACAGGCAATTAGTAGCGTTGCCTGCATTCATCGCAGATCCTTTTAGAAGAAAGTGGTGATAAGGGAATAAATACATCGTGGTCCTGCTTAGCTTCACAGCAGGATAGAGCAGAGGTGGCTGGGGAGAGAGCAGGGGCTCTGGGTGCCCCCTCATTCTACTGCCCTGGGTGGGAGGGAAGGCCTGGGGTGAGGCCCTAAGTGGATCCTAGGCCCTGGGCCTCTCTCTGCAGAGCTGGGCCGCCTCAGGGGCTGCTGTGGTCCTGGGCCTCCAGCGGGGTAGGTGCGTAGAGACTGTTTGAGTAGAAGATACTAAATAAGCATGACTTTGGAGGACGCCCTTGACATTTGATGGTCCGCATACACCAAGGAATCCTTCCCTATTCCACTTCCCCCCACTTCACCTCCGGCTTCTGCCTGAACACCCATGAAGCGTCTCTCTCTCAAATCATCAGGCGTCGTTATTGCTAAGTCCAAATCACTCCTTATACCACTCCACCGGGGAGATCATGCCTTTATTCTTGAAATTCACTCATCTCTTCTTCAGAATCGGACTCCCCCTTCTAGGTCTTGTCCCTAAAATGTCATACAGGTGCCTACATATACTAAATTTATTTTGCTAGTTTGGATATCTCCATTGAACAAGAGGCCTTTATATCTCTCTACCTAGGATGATGTGTGGCACCACATTTATCTTCCCAGACAATGTTGCCTTTCTCCTAGTGTCCTGTATTTCAATGACACTCCATACACCTTGTTCCTCAAGGAAGTCTGGAAGCTGTTTGTTTTTCTTCCCCCACCGTTCCCCTCCTTCGATCCATCTTTCAGTCCCTTTAAATCCACATTCAGAAATATCTCCTGGGTGCCTTTACTGCTCTCCATCACCTCTGCTACTACTCTTTGCTATTGCAAATAATGCCACCACGCACAGACCTTTATATACGTTATTTCGTATATGGGAAGTGTATCAAACATATGGGAATGGATTACCGGAAATGGGATCGCCAGGTAACAGTATAAATGACTGTACTTCACGTAAGTGTCACCAGCTCCCTCCCCCTCCATAGAGGTTGTAAATGACTTGCTAGAAAGCTATTTTATGACAGATGGCATAGCACACCGTTGAGGAGATAGATGTACACATAGTATACCACACTGTGTGTATGTGGCATGAGGCCACAGTACTTAATCTAGGCAGTCATTTGGCAAAAGATAAAGTTGAATCCATAACTCATGCAGAACACCAATAAAATTCCAAACAGCTGACCTTCGGGCAAATAGTGTGCAGATGGTGAACTTGCACTTGCTGCCCCTACAGTCTTGCTAGCTGTTCTAATTTTTTTTTTTTTTACATTTTAAAATATATTTTATTGATTTTTTTTTTACAGAGAGGAAGAAACATGATGAATTTCTACTTAAATTTGGAGTAGAAATTTATGGCTCAGATTTCAAAAGCCATTTATTAAAATTGAGAAAATCAATAATATTAAAACACACAGACGCAAACACTTGTCCATGGCAATAAACGATGTCAAAGTCAAAGGCAACTGACGAAGTGGAAAAAAAATTGTTCAGATCACATTTTTAAAGGTTAATCTAATATATAAAGTGCTCTTCTGAATCAAGAACATGGACATGAACATGGACATGAAAAATTCCCATAAAGTAACAAAAACGGCCTATAAAAATATTTCAACTTCATTCATAATAAGAAAAGATGAATTTAAGGCTATGTTGAGTCATTTCTTATTTGGTAAACATCCAAAAGTTTGACAGCTTGCTGTGTAGGCAAGAAGGTAAAGAAATTGAAAATCTCATAGACAGCTGGTGAATGGAACAAAAATTACTACCTTTATGGGCTGTAACAGGTACATCACATGCAAATTGAAACTGTTTGACTCCTCCCTTTCCAAATTGAATGCATCTAATATCTTTCAGTTCTTCATATACGAATATCGCATTATTTTTATTTTTGAGACTATAGGATCTTTTGATATGTGCTGAGGCTAACATCCTTTCATTGCTTTTCTTTTTCATAATTTTCCTGTCTATTCTAATTATTGATATTTTCTTATGACCTTTTAAATCATCTTCTGTCTATTTCCAGAAAAAATACTGTTGGAATTTTTATTAGGACTATAAATTTATAACAGTTAAAATTGATACATTTATGTTGTTTATTTTCCTTTATGTCTTTGTTGCAAGTCCACTTCTGTGCCCTTGAGAAATATTTTCAGATTTTTCTCAAGTAGGTTTTACATGTTTCTTGTTAAATTTACTCTCTAGGATTCTATTTTATTGCTGTTGAAAATGATTTATTCTCTTCCGTTATATTACTTAACTGGTTTTATTTATGTGTATGACTACTGATGACTTCTATATTTTAATTATTATTGCTGCTCCTTTACTGAAATTCTCTTATTGTTTATAGTAACTTATTGGTTGGTTTGCTAGGGTTTTCCCAATAAATAATCATATCAAATGCAAATAGATATTGTTTTTACTTCTTCCTTTCCCAATTCATATGCCATCTCCTATCTTCCTCTTGCCTGATATACTTTAACTAGGGGCTCAGTGCACAAATTCGTGTACCTTGGAAGGAACTGTGGGCCGTGAGGCTGTGGTGGGCAGAGGGGCAGGTCTTGGCCCATCCTCCCCGCCCCCACCCAGCCCCTCCCGCCGTGGTCCCCAGTCCCCTGTCTGCCAGCAGCCCCACTCCCGCCACTGCCGCTCCCATGTGCTGAGGGCGATGGCCCAGCTCATACCCACTGACAGGGCTAAGCGATTGGGGCTGGCGCCAGCAGTGGGTGCAAGCGGGGCCAGCTCCATCAGTGGGTGTGAGTGGTGGCTGCTGCCCTGATCGATCCTCAGGAGCAGAGGGAGGTGGAGAAGCCCTCAGGGGTGATTGGGGCCAGCAGTTGCCACTCGCACCCACTGATGGTGCTGAGCGATTGGGACCGGCACCGGGTGCCAGCAGTGGGTGCGAGCAGGGCTGGCGCCAGCAGCAAGTGTGAGCACCCAGCAGGACCATGGTGCATGGGAACAAAGAATTTTCAGTAACCACCAGATGCTCGCCCTGATGACAGCGACTGGCACCCCGCCTCGGTCTAGCTCCCCTGCTCACCTGCTCCACCATCCTGCTGCAGCCGATGCCCACCATGTTCTGCAAGCACCCCCTGGTGGTCAGCGCATGCATAGCGACTGGTTGTTTGGTTGTCCAGTTGTTCCACTGTTCAGTCTATTTGCATATTAGGGTTTTATATATATAGATGTAACATTAACTGTAAACAATGGCCTTTGAAAGTCTGTCTTGTTTCTGAGTTTAGTGTGGCTGCCATTTGTGCTTTCCCATTGATGTTGTGATTATAATCTATATTATAAAAGCCTAAGCTACCATACAACCGAACGACCGGTCAACCAGTCCCTATGACACACACTGACCACCAAGGGGCAGACCCTCAATGCAGAAGCTACCCCCTGGTGGTCAGTGCGCTCCCATAGCCAACCTCCCACAGCCCCTCCCCCTGGCCAGCAAACCTCTCGCGGTTCCTCTCCCTATTCAGCAGGCCCCGTCCAGCAGGCCCCTTCTGGCAGCCAGCAGGCCCCGGCCAGCCTGGCCCCGATCGGCACTGGGCGAGATGGTCCCAATAGGCCCTGATCGCCAGCCAGACCTAGGGACCCCACCGTGCATGAATTTTGTTCACCGGGACGCTAGTATAATATAAAAATCATATTGAAGAAGTTTACTCCTTGGGATTTTATTGCTTCCTATTTGGGGCCTTTTAAAAAAAATCAAAGAGTGGTTATTGAATTTGGTCAACTGTTTTTCATCATAGTGTTGATCACATGCCAGGCCTTTGTGTGAATTCCTGGCATGAGTTCCTAGACCAAGCAAGTGACAGGAACGTGTATCCCAGACCCATGCGAGGGCCAGTTTACCTCCAGCTCACCCCTACGATGAAGGCTTTATGTTTGGTCCCAGGTTAACGTGGGTGACACTTGTCTTAGATCGAAGGTGGACCCATGTTTTGATTTCACTCTTTTCCAGGGAATTCAAAAAAATAGTCAAATCTTTTCAGATCAGAAGTCATTTCTAGTTACTACTCTGTGTCCCTCCTTTACCCTATTTTTGCCTAGCGATTCCTTGCTAGATGCTTTCGGATGCTACAAAACAACTTACCCATCATTTTCATTTTTGGCATGGGGGTTTGTCTGAATGCCCTGGCTGCCTTTATTGGAAATGAAAATTGTTTTCCGGACCCATTCTTCACACAGGTCAGACTTACTTATTCAAATGGAAAGGTTCTCCTGTAATTTACCTGCTTAAAACCAGTCTTTGTCTGATTCTCCGTAGGAAATAAGATCCATGTGCCTTGTTAATGCTATTCAGAATCTGCCCACACCTGCTTGTCTGAATACATTTTAAACTTCTGTTCCTCTCGTGCTATATGCATCAGCTCTTCCAGATTTTCATGTTCAGGTCTGTGTCGTCTCCGAGCCTCTACATATGCCATTCCTCCGCTTGGAACATACAAGCTCTGCTCCTTCTTGACACGGATAGCAGTGCAGCCGCTCTTCAGGTGACATCGTCTGGCTCTTACAGGGGCTAGTTTCCCCGCTCTCCCATCTCCCATGGCACCTGTGCTCCCTGTTACAGCACTTACCCTCCTTTGCTGAAATTGCAAATATGCTTTACCCTTGAGCCGAGTGTTTTGTGAGGATCATGCTTACTTCTCTGTGTATGACACATAGGAGACATTCATGAATATTTGTTGAATGCATGGATGAATGGATGTATGGGACACGTATCCAAAGTATTGTCTTCATTCATTCTTTCCTTCTCCCCGGTTTTTACGCAGTCCAGGTCACCATCCTCCCTCTCTTAGATTCCTACTATAGCAGTGGTTCTCAACCTCCCTAAGGCCGCGACCCTTTAATACAGTTCCTCATGTTGTGGTGACCCCCAACCAGAATATTATTTTCGTTGCTACTTCATAACTGTAATTTTGCTACTGTTATGAATCGTCATGTAAATATCTGATATGCAGGCTGTATTTTCATTGTTACAAATTGAACATAATTAAAGCATAGTGATTAATCACAAAAACAATATGTAATTATATTTGTGTTTTCCGATGGTCTTAGGTGACCCCTGTGAAAGGGTCGTTCAACCCCCAAAGGGGTCATGACCCACAGGTTGAGAATCGCTGTACTATAGCTTCCAAACTGGTCTCCTTGCTTCCATCTTTGCTTCTCTATAGCCTATTGTCACATAGTCACCAGAATGATTCTATGCAAATGAAGAATGATTTTATGTAAATGCTTGCCAGAATATGCCTCTGCAGCTCCTAAACCTGATGCTGCTCCTCTCTGCACTCAGAGTAAAGTCTGCACTCTTTCGTGTGGCCTTGTAGAACCTGTGTGATATGCCCCTGACTGTCTCTTTAATGTCACCTCCTGTCACTCTTCCCTCACTGTGCTCTGCTACGAGGGCCTCTGTTTTGTTCCCAAAAAACACAAGTTCCCTTCCAGGACATTCGCTCTGGTTTGTCCCCCAGAAGACTCTTCCATTAGTGAATTGGTTGGTTCGCTTCCTCATTTCATTCAAGCTTCTGGTCTTCCCTCTGTCACTCTCCGTGACCTTTGAGCATTTGTGTATTAACTTTTTGAGTCTTGTTATGACGTTATCTCCATGAGGTTAAGGACTTTGCTTTGTTCATTGCTGTAGCCTTTGAACACTGCCTAGCAGCTCGTAAGCAACCCTTGAATGTTGGTTGAATGAGTAAGTGGATGCTTGCTTGCAATCACCTCAGTCATCTGACTCCACTCCTGTTCTCTCTGGACTGTGCAGCCTGGACAGTTCCTCCCATATTTTAATTTCCACTTCCCACACTCTCTTCATTGTGTCTGTCCCCAATTTCCAAGTGAAATATAATTCTGTTACCTGATTCTTCACATGTAATTAAAATTAGATAAAGATTCTTCAATGAGTGTTGGAAGTAAAATTAATTTTTTTAAAATATATTTTTATTGATTTCAGAGAGGAAGGGAGAGGGAGTGAGAGATAGAAACATTGAGGATAAGAGAGAGTCATTAATTGGCTGCCTCCTGCATGCCCCTTACTGGGGATGGAGCCCTCCACCCAGGCATGTGCCCTGACCGGAAATTGAGCTGTAACCTCCTGGTTCATAGGTCATTGCTCAACCACTGAGCCACGCCTGCTGGGCAGAAGTAAAAATTTTTATTCAAATTTTGCTGGCTTTAATTTATGTGTATAGACTTTGTAAGTAATGATGTAAATGTTACTTTTACTTATCTTGCATTTGGTCAAACTATAGAAGAAAAATTGTGCATTTTTCAGAAGCATCCATTGTAAAATTTCAGAAAAAAATGGCATTAAATTGCAGTGTGTTCAGATATATATTGTATTGGAATTGGCTGGTTCAACATAAATCACTAACTCATAAAAAAAATTTAAGTAAAAAATTTTCTAAAATGACCTTAACTCTCATTTATGAGAAGATGGGCCTTCAAAATAAGTTTGTATTTCAAAGTTACATGCTCGCTCCTGTGGGGCGTTTTACATGGAAACGGTCCGCATCACCCCAGGACAGTGAGTCAGTGCTACTCTTTAGAAGCACTGGGGTTTTATTCAGGCTGCTATTGATTTGGTACCACAGCTCATTTAGGCAATTGGCAATTAATTGAAACGTTTTGCTGGCTCATTAAATTTGTTTTTGTTTCTCTTTCTCTTTCCTGTTTACATACCTGTGCTGCCTTCCTAATAGTTTTGGTGCTTTCTGGCATAGGTTGTCTTTGGTTCCTCAATATACCTACTGAGTTTGGGAAATTATTACTAACTTTATTTTATGGAATAGGAGTCAAAACCCAAGAGGGGAGGGATTCTCTGAGTTTACATTCTCTGTGAGGGAGTGAGCCAGGACTCTCAGTCTATTGTTTTCTTCTTACCCCTGATACAGTTTTTCTGATTTTTTACTCCTATGTAATTATTATCTTATTTTGTTAATTATATAAACTGATTTATAACTGTATAAATTTATAATTTATATAAACACACACATACATATATATGTATACATTAGAAGTATTTTTAATTCATAATGTTGAATTGATTTTTAGATCTTAATATGTGCCTCTGATGCCTGCAAAACAGTGACGCTACATGTTCCCTCCAAACTGGATGCTGAGAAATTTGTTGGTAGAGGTAAGAAACTGCCAAAATAGGTAAAATCCTAATTTGTACGATCTTGTAAAATGAGTGTAACTTTCAGAGGAATAACTGTATTAGAACTAAGAGTTAGAACTAATATAGCACATTATCATTTATAATGCTTATGGTATCATTCCAATGAAAGGAATATTGTTTTTTTTATTTAAAAACATGATTATATGAAATAGATAAAAATGTTTACTTTAAGTAATAAAAATTATTAATATTTGCATTAATTGAAGGATATGGTATATGTTTTAACATGTTTCTGTGAAATTGAGAAATCGTATTGAAACTATTTCCTAAGTTTAATGGTATTGTTTTTGGATTTTTGCCCTAAAACATTTTGACATCTCATTGACATTGATTTTCACATATTGTTTTTGCAGTAATTAATTTTTTACATAACTCAACTATATAAGAAAAAATCAGACCAACGAGAACATAGAATATGATGACTATTTAATAATAGACATAAAGAGTTCAATAATATCTTAATTCAATAACTGCCAATTTTAATTCTCTAGATTCTACTTACTTCAAATGTATTAATTTTATGTAATAAAGAAAAACTTTTTGGTGTTAATTTAAATATTCAAACAATAGGGTTTATGTACTTTTATATCAAGACAAATATCTCTCTTTAAAAGGGGATAGTATATGTGTTAGAAGTGATGCATGTGCTAATCTGTGTTTAGCGCAACTTAATTAACCAGAGTTTTATATTTTTTTTTAAAACAAAAAATTTACAAGTGTCAGTGTAGCTAATTTTAAGTTTTTGCACCCCCTCACCCCCGCCCCCCAAGGCATACATTACTGCTAAAACCATATATTGGTATGTTTTACCTTACAAATGGTTGCTGTGCACCCTTTTTTGCAGTGAACCTGAGGGAGTGCTTGAAGTCCGCAAATCTAATTCATTCAAGTGATGCTGATTTCCAAGTTTTAGAAGATGGTTCAGTCTATACAACAAACGCTGTTCTTTTTTCCTCCGAGAAGAGACATTTTACCATCTCACTTTCCAACTCTGAGAACCACGAGGAAAAGAAAATGCATGTCCTTTTGGAGCATCAAACAAAGGTACCAAACTACAGAATGAAGTGGATGAAGGATTTCCTTGAGGGTAACTAACATTACCAGGAAAAAGTGCAGTCAGAAAAGCTACGGGATAGTTGAGCTTGAAGAAGGATGGAACCCATGATGCAATGTATCAGTGTTCAAATGGACAAGGATTGTGCAACATGGGTTAATGAGAGGTTGTAATTTGGGACATCAAAGAAATTGAGCTGAGCTACAGCATAGGAGCTTGAGATTGGACACGAAGGAGCACTTTTTATCTTTACTGTAGAATCGATTTTTTTTTAAAATATATTTTATTGGTTTGTTTAAGAGAGGAACGTAGAGGGATAGAGAGTTAGAAACATCGATGAGAGAGAAACATCGATCAGCTGCCTCCTGCACATCTCCTACTGGGTATGTGCCCGCAACCCAGATACATGCCCTTGACCGGAATCGAACCTGGGACCCTTGAGTCTGCAGGCCGACGCTCTATCCACTGAGCCAAACCGGTTTCGGCTAGAATCGATTTTTTAAAAACAAGTTTTGAAACTGTATCTGGAGGCCTCGCGGTCCCTTAGCATGATTTTTAGTGTTAGAAAGTAGATGGCTGTCTTGGGTTGTGGTTTGGACCTGACCTATGCTTAGGACGTTGTGGCACCCAAGGTCACAGTGCCTTCTGTTCAACCATTGGCCGTTACTCACTGCAGCAGTTGGAGGGTTCAGCACGTTTCTCTCCTCGTTCTGACAGATCTCTCTCTGGGTTCCCCGACTCCTCCCAGTTGTCGGTGAGTGGAAGATGCTTACACTCAACTCAGAAGGACGCATGGTCTACTCATTTTCTTTGCGTATCTCTCCTTCCATGTTTTTGCATGGCAGTGTGACGATAGCAAACTTTTTTTCAGTTTTGCTTCTCGGCTTACAATTTCATCTCTCTTCCTTCCACATGCCCATCAAGTTATTTTCGCAAAAGGATCGCTGTGTTGTTTCTTCATTATCATTTTGCAGTGTTGATGTTTAGCTTTATTTTCAAGCACCACCCGTTCATACACCTCCCAGCTGATCCCCATGAGAGCAGAAAGATGCATCGACGTTCTAATGCTTGAGGATAAAATGGTCGCTGACTTTATTTTTTGTTTTTTTTCTAAATTGAGGCACTAAAGCAAAGTCATCCCAAAGAAAAAGTTCTCAGACGTGCCAAGAGAAGATGGGCTCCCATTCCCTGCTCAATGATGGAGAACTCCTTGGGTCCTTTTCCACTTTTCCTTCAGCAGGTACAGTCTACTTTCTTTCCACTGGGAAGGGCTATGGTTTCCGCCATTTTTTTTTAATTAAACAGTGAGTTTTTAAAGCATAGTGGTGTATGAATATATGAATGAATGGGTATGTATGGCATATGTTTAAATATATGGGTATAAATATGTCTTTATACCTACATGTACTTTTTGCAGTTTTAGTCATGCAACGGCCATTAATAAAACTGTAAAGCCCATTTAAGACTTTCAAACACGTGGTTTCTTAATGAATTTTCCTATCAACAAGGGGCTCACAGAGCCTGGGTATGGTCTAGAAAACTCCCAAACATCTCCCGTAAAAAAAGGATGAAAACTGCTTGTTGAGAAAAGGCCAAATGCTGTGAAAGAAAGAGACACATACACCTTCCTATTGCTTATCCCCAGGTCCACTGCTTCCATCAACTGGATCCACATTCTCTCTCTCTCTCTCTCTCTCCCCCCGCCCCTCTCAAACATTTAGTGGAAACCTTAGCAGCTCTCTTTGCCTTCTACCACTACCCGTGGCCACCACCATTCGGTCCATGACTTGGGTGTCTTTTCCTCAGTCCTTGAAATGGTGAGAGAGAATCTTCCTTTACATCCCACCCACAGACTTCATGCGGCTGAGACACCAGCAAATAAAGCTGAGAAAGAAATGGCTGGAAAGCAGTTGTGCTCATCCGCCCAGTGTATAGTCAAGATCTTACCAAGAGGTTGAACACAGCTTGGGAAAGACTTGCTTTTGAATCAAGCACCAGACTATTACCCTTGCCAAGATATGATGCCATTTTTAGTCTCATGATCCCCCGCCCGACACACATAAACTCAGCTCCTGTAATAAAGCAGATGCTGACACATAACAAGCTCTAATTCAGGAGAGCATTTTCCAAGTTTTTGCCATCCAGGCAGAACACTTCATCTCAAATATTATATCATATGGGGTGGGCAAATGTAGGTTTACAGTTGTGAGCATGTGAAACAGTGTTTATTCTTGTATTATTATTTATAATTATTGTTTTATTTAGTTGTATTACAACTGTAAACCTACTTTTGCCAACCCCCTCAGTGGTGAGAGCATCAGCCTGTGGACCAAAGGGTCGTGGGTTCGATTCCTGGTCAAGAGCACATACCTTAGTTGCAGGCTCAAGCCCTAGCCCTGGTCTGGGTGCGTGCAGAAGGCAACCAATTGACCTGTCTTTTTCACATCAGTGTTTCTCTCTCTCTCTGTCTCTCTCTCTCTCTCTCTCTCTCTCTCTCTCCTCAAAACAGTGACAATGGCCACTATTCCTTGAGCCTTTGCCCTGAAGCCACACAGCTCAGTTTCTCTAAGTAAGTCTCTGGTGGCTCCCTAGTCTGGTGCCTCCTGCGCTGGAGCCCAGGGTGAGTTCAAGTGAGCAAATAAGTCTGTGCTTTAAGAACATATCTGGCCCTAACCGGTTTGGCTCAGTGGGTAGAGTGTCGGCCTACAGACCAAAGGATCCCGGGTTCTGTTCCAGTCAAGGGCATATACCTCAGTTGGAGGTTCCTCTTCAGCTCAGGCCCTGGTCAGGGCTCGTGCAGGAGGCAAACAATCAATATGTTTCTCTCATATCGATGTTTCTCTCTGTCTTTCCTTCTCTCTTCCACTGTCTCTAAAAATAAATGGAAAAAATATCCCCAGGTGAGGATTAACAACAACAAGGAAAAACAGCAGGATAATTTTTCATGCTCAGAATACTTTGTTTTCTAAGACAGGCAAAGTCGTAGATGTTCAATCCACGTTTTCCTTAGTTATTCTAGAAAAGATTCTACTACATTATTCTCTTCATGCTTTGCTCTTGAAATTTCTCAATTATCAGATGTCCTTATTCTCTTTTGCTTTTCATTCATACACACATAATGATAAATAGAGGACAGTTAGTAATGATATAGTGATTATATAAATACTAGAGGCCCGGTGCATGAAAATTCATGCACTGGTGGGGGGTCCCTCAGCCCAGCCTGCCCCATATCACAGTCCAGGAGCCCTCAGGGGCGGGAGGTAACGCAGCGATCAGGGGAAGGCGACGCCCCATCACAGCTCTGCTGCTGCCACTGCCGGCAGCACACACCTCGGCCAGCCCTGGTTACCTGAGCCTCCGGCCAGCCCTGGGCAGCTGGACAGCCTCCATCCGAGGCTTGCCTGCACCTCGGCTGGCCCTGCTTGCCTGGGCCTCGGTCAGTGGGGGGTGCAGGAGGACCCGAGGCCCCCAGCAGGGCTGAGGGGACTGGGCGCTGCCATCTTGTAGCTGTGGGCACTGCCGTTTGTGAGGGTGTGATGGTCAATTAGCATATTCCCTCTTTATTATATAGGATATAGATCAGTGATGGCGAACCTATGACACGCAAACTCATTTTTTTGGTTGATTTTTCTTTGTTAAATGGCATTTAAATATATAAAATAAATATCAAAAATATAAATCTTTGTTTTACTATGGTTGCAAAGATCAAAAAATGTCTATATGTGACACGGCACCAGAGTTAAGTTAGGGTTTTTCAAAATGCTGACACGCCGAGTTCAAAAGGTTTGCCATCACTGATATAGATGAAAATTTTGCTGAAATAAAATTTTGTCTCACGTATATAATATCTACCTTCTAGATCGAATCTGATGCAGCACAAAACTACACTGTATACTATTCTATAAGCGGGCCTGGAGTTGACCAAGCACCTCTGAATTTATTTTATGTCGAGAGGAACACCGGAAACCTGTTCTGTACTGGTCCCGTAGATCGTGAGCAGTATCCCTCTTTTGAGGTAAAGTCTAACGTGTACATATTGTTTCAGTAATGATTAAACTTGGCTATTGTGTTTCCCTATTCATTTCCCCTTTTCTTTTTTCTGAGTTTATCATCGAGGCTTCTGATAGCGCAGACTTGGCTTGAGGCAAAAGTAATTTCATTGATTCTCTTAGAAAGTTCTTGGTGTCATAGTTTTACTGTTTTCGTTGTTTGTTTTTCCAAAAGAAAAAGGAGTGCCACTTCAAAAACAGTGATTTAGTTGACAAAAAAGCTCTGTGAGCCTCTTTATGGTAGAGAGAGAGATGGGAGGTAAGTGAGGTTTAGAGTTAGGCCCCGTACCTTTGCATGGGAGAAAATTAACTTGTGGTGAGCAAGTAAGGACCATGGACAGATTATTCAGTTGTTTCATCATCTGGGTAACTTCCCTTGGAGGAATGAGAGGTAATAATGTAAGAATTTAACCTAATGTATTGAGTTTCCAGCAGGACCTGGTCATTAGCTTAAATCAATTTTAATTAGCTTACATCTATTGTTGATTAATTATTCACCAGTAGACCAAATTAACTGCACAGGCATTTATACTTTGAAGTAAAATATTTAGGGATAGAATTGCTACAGCATGGCCTTCTAAACACCTGTGTTTTCTGTTCTTTCTATGATAGTTGTTCTGAGAAGAACTGGGATTAAAATTCATGTTACGAAATCAAAAAAATAGATTGTATTCTCCACACAACTTACAGCCACTCATTTGTTCTATTTTGCACTCCCCCTTTTTTAAATCAAAAAGTTTATATGAAGACAGTTTTCTAAGTATAACCATCAATATGCCTAAAACCGAAATTAGTAGAAAATAAGACAATATCTGAGTTAATGGCACATGGGAAATTTGGAGTCCTAAAGATCCAAAGTTAAAAAAAATCCAGAAAATTGTATTTAACATTAATGCACCTGAAACTTTCAAACAAAACAAAACATAATCATCCTTAAGGCTGTTTTGGGAAAATAATAATAAAAACCATTACACTCTTGTACAGCAGTAGTGAGGAAACCAGAATTATCTGTTATTACATTAGACAAATTTAAACATAAACTGCTGGACTACATCATGAGATCAACCATCTTCTGTGGCATTAAGGGTATGTCCACGTCCAAATACAGTAACAGGTGGTAAACCTCACACTGCAGCGCGGAACAGTGTACACCTTAAAGCCGACACTAGCGTGAACCGTATTTTGATGGATTACTTTTGTTTTTCTTCTTTTACTCTCTTCACAGATAGTGGCTTTCGCAGCAACTCCAGATGGCTATCACCCAGAATTCCCACTTCCCCTGCTCATCAGGATTGAGGATGAAAATGATAACTACCCAATTTTTACAAATTCAACTTACATATTTACAATTGCGGAACATTCCAGAGTTGGTGAGTGCCCACCCACTTTAACAATGTTTGCCAACTTGGTGTTTTCATTCCAAAGTTCAGTTTTCCTCTGCCGTTGGGAGGCAGCATGTCCTACTGGTAGGGAAGAGGGACTTCTCATCAGGCCGCTCTGGGTGCGATTTCTCTCTGCCTCTCACTAGCTCGCTGTGTGCTGTGACCCTGGGCAATTGCTAAAATGTTGACAAGTCTTAGTTTCCTTGTCTATAACAGGGGGTATCAATATACAGGTTTGTCATGAAGGTTAATGACTCAATAAACGTTACTTTGCCGTCCTGTGTAACTAACATTACCAGGGAAGATGTGGAATCAGAAAGGATAGGGGACAGTTTAGCTTGAAGAAGAATGTGTGAGATAAAAGAAGTCCTTTTAAGAGAATGTACTCAAAAAAAAAAATAAGCCTTTGAGCAACTGAAATCCTAGCCTTGAAGAGATCTACTGATGTTCTGTAGTGATTAAATGATTGACGCTATTCTGGGCATAATCGTAAAGGTCATTGATAATAATAGAGATGTTTTCTCATCTTGTGGGAATGGACCATTTTAGCTGGAAGAATGCAGTCTTTGAGTCTTCCTCTAGAAAGATCCAACCAAACCAAGAATTTTCAGAGAAAACGGACCCATATGATCAATTTAAGTACAAGCTTACAAATAGAAAAAGGTGAAAGAATAATTAGAACTCTTTAGAAATACAAAGGCCATGAAGGAATATTATCAACATTTATAAAGTTATACACCGAACGCAGTAAATATGGATATGGTCACTGAATTCCAAAAGGTTAGGCCGCTGGGATACTGAAAAGGAGGGGATGCTTCATCTAGAAATCCTCAAACTATTATTATATTATAATAGAAACGATTATTACTCTGATATGTAAGTAAGTGTTCCAAAGCATTTTCGAAGTAGGTGGAAAGGAATGATATAAAGGGAAAGTTGAGCCCAGCTGGTGTGGCTCAGTGGTTGAGCATCGACCTATGAACCAGGAGGTCACAGTTTGATTCCCAGTCAGGACACACGCCTGGGTTGCAGGCTCCGACCCCAGTGTGGTGGGGGCGTGCAGCAGGCAGCCGATCAATGGTTCTCTCTCATCATTGATGTTTCTATTTCTCTCTCCCTTCCATCCTGAAATTAATAAAAAATATATATTTAAAGGGAAAGTTGAAAATGTAAAGGTTTTGGAAGTTAAAGGGGATTTTTCACTATGTAGGCTCCACCGTGGGACAGGTGTGTGCGACTGACAAGGATGAGCCTGGCACGCTGCACACGCAGCTCAAGTACTCCATCCTGCAGCAGCTGCCAGCGTCCCCCACCCTGTTCTTCATGAATCCGACCACAGGTGTGATTACCACCACGACGTCCCAGCTAGACAGAGAGGTAACACCGATATTCACGAAAAATCGTTTGCCATGTTGTTGGTTAACAGCACCTGTGGTCAATGTGTGTTTGAAAAGTATGTTATGAATCCAGTTTTCCAAAAATTAGCATTTTAAGTATGTTAATGGGGGTCATTAACTTTGCAGTGCACTGATTTTGAATCTCTAATGCAGTGGTTCTCAACCTTCTGGCCCTTTAAATACAGCTCCTCATGTTGTGACCCAACCATAAAATTATTTTCGTTGCTACTTCATAACTGTAATGGTGCTAGTGTTATGAATTGTAACGTAAATATCTGATATGCAGGATGGTCTTAGGCGACCCCTGTGAAAGGGTCGTTCGACTGCCAAAGGGGTCGCGACCCACAGGTTGAGAAACGCTGCTCTAATGTGTTCTCTAATTGTGTTTTATAAAATCGAATTTCCTCATATAAATATTTGTAGTATTAAAAACAAATATCACATATGAAAAGTGGAACTTTTGGAAATGTGTAGAAATTTGGAAATGCAAAATTGTTCTCTTTTCTGTCTGCATCGTGTCTTCCTCAGCAAGCTCATTTGCATTCTTCTACTTACATAGCTTAAAAGAAAGTCCATATCTCTCTACTATCTGCCTGGCCATTTTCAATTGTCTCCCGGAAATCTTTATTGGCATGTTTCGCAGGTACCAACAATGCAGCACATCTACAGTCCAGCGCCTCTTTCCTTCTGAACATGCTCTCCTTCCCATGTCTTCTAGTCAGAATGCCATCAATACATTCTTGTCCTATTAATAATTTTTCTATTATGACCTTGAATTCATATTCTCCAAATTGTATTTGAAATCTCTTTTCCCCTTGATCAAAATCACTTTCCAAAGCATGTTGATATTACCTCCAAAATTATTTTTCTTTTGTATTCTGTCCATTTCCACTGTAATTGTCAACCATCATAGTTTAGTAACTTATTCACTTGGTTATTCAACTACCTCCTCCACCAAGCACATAGTCAGCTGAATTCTTAGACACTTTATCTGGCCAACTCACTACATTTATAATCCTTAATCTTAAAATATAGTATTACTAGTATATGTTTTTCAGGTAATCCTTTGATTTCTAAAACTTCATTTCAAATTCATTCCCTCCTCTTCTCTCTATCCCTCATAGAATAGATCAGTGGTCTTCAAATTTTCTGATCTCAAGATCCCTTTACACTCTTAAGTATTTTTGAAGATTCCAAAGATATTTTGTTTATGTGGGTTATATTTATCAGTATTTAACCATTAGCATTTAAAACTGATAAAAATGTAAAATATATATTTAATTACCCAGTTAAAATAATAGTAGATATGTTACATGTTAACATAAATAACATTTTTATTAAAAAGTAGTTATTTTCCAAAATAATAAATAATTTAGTGAGAATAGTGACATTATTATAGAGTTTTCCAAATCTCTTTATATTTGGCTTTACATAAGACAGATGGGTTCCCATGTCTCCTGCATTCAGTCTGTTATAATATGCAGTATTAGCTGAAGTAAACAAAGAAAATCCAACATGATACGAAGTTAGAAAGGAGCAGAGTATTTTAATGGTAATTTCAGGTCATTCTGGATATTAATCTTTGATACTACACCAATACTTGACAAGTGGTCATTTCCCAAATTTTTTTTGCAAAGTGCACTCTGAAGCCTTATCAATGAACTGCCATACATGGTTACCTTAAAGCCCTTTGGTCTGTCTGTACTATGTGTGGGTAGTTTAACCATGTATGATTTTGTAACACCATGCATTCTTCATATTGGTTCATTAAGTTACGCAGATCTCCCAAATGTTGACACATTTCGTTAAACAATGTTGAGAAATCACCTCCTCACTTGCATTAATATCACAGTGATTGATAAAAATTTTCTAGAATTCTCAGTTTTGTTTAAACGCTCCAATTTATTATTGGTAACAAATAGTTTTTTTCCCCTTAAAGTGTCAAACTTTATGTTTGACAAATTGTCTTTCAAATGTACCAATCTGAATAACCATCGATGTCTTTCATATAAAGACGGTATCTTATAAACACAACAACAACAGCTAGTTCAGCTCATAAATCAAACAATCACACGAGTACTTTTCCTTGAGAGGAACAGCCAACTGTGTTATTCAGCAGAAGTGCTCCATTCATACCTCCTATTTCTTCACATGCACTGTTGACCAAAATTTAATAAATTAATCATTTTTTTTCACCACATCCACAAAGAAATTCCCAAGTGAAATTGGCACTTATTTATCTTATTATTTATAAATTCATTTATTTTTATTGTGAGTATGTGCCAGTGAAGAATACAATATCATCTCCTGAATAAATGAATGAATTAGTGTTACAGCTCTGCATAGTATGCAGGTTCTTCATGGAATTTATGTATCAGGAAAAGCAGATTATAAATCAGTCACTTGAAGAGATTCTTCTGACAGAATCAGTTGAAGACTAACTAAGGAGTCTTGGGCGGTTTTATCAAGTGGCTCTGGAGGACATCATAAGTTAATATTTAGGCCCACAAAACTACATTTCTTCTCTTATCAACCAATTGGTTATTTCCAATAAGTCTTAGTTCACTACAAATAAAATGTATATTTCCTCCTGAAAGTATACTAGAATGAGGTTTTTAAAATTTTTAATACAATAAGGCTGTTACTTTTCAAGTCAACGTATGTGATTGGTTATGAGAGAAAAGTAAATCAGAAAAAATTATGTATGAAAAGCATAGAGATTGAGAGAAATTTTAATTTTTAAGGAAATGAAGACAAGGAAGTTTAAGAGGTGATGGAATTAAGGTAAGAAGGTGAATATTCTAAATAGAAGGTTAGGATGGTTTTTCACATATTATTTTTGTCTTATGAAAAGAGGGAAATTATGTAGAAATTATGTATTACCACCCCTAACGTAAGTTCCTCCGACACCACCACTATATATATATGGCTAATATGCAAAGTGTCCCTCGGGAGTTCGACCGGGAGACCGGAAGTTCAATCGCTTGCTATGATGTGTGCTGACCACCAGGGGGCGGCGCGGAACGAAGAAAGGCCCTGACTGGCAGCCAGCAGCCGGAAGGCCTCAATTGGCCTGATCACCAGCCAGGCCTAGGGACCCTACCCCTGCACGCATTTTGTGTACCAGGCCTCTACAGTGGGGCCTTGACTTACGAATGTCCCGACTAACGAGTTTTTCGAGATACGAGCCGTCTCTCGGCCGATTTTTTGCTTTGAGTTGAGTTGCGAGCTAAAATTCGGGTTACGAGCCAGCTTTAGATACCCCACCGCTAGTTGGCGCAGCGAATGTCACAGTGATTTGACATACGAGTAATTTGAGTTACGAGCTCCGTCACGGAACAAATTAAACTTGTAAATCAAGGCCCCACTGTAGTTGTTTTATAAAAGAGGAAACCTAGGTAAGGAGAATTTTTCAACTGCCTGCGATTACATTTATTATTTTGGGAGTTGGCAATAGAACCCAAGTCTCCTCATGCTCAGTCCGGAGGCATTATTCTCAGTGTTTATAATCTATACCTCAATTACAATAAGTAAAACCATCACAGGAAGAAACACATATTTTTAAATATATTTTATTGATTTTTTACAGAGAGGAAGGGAGAGGGATAGAGAATTAGAAACATCGATGAGAGAGAAACATCGATCAGCTACCTCTCCCTACTGGGGATGTGCCCGCAACCAAGGTACATGCCCTTGACCGGAATCGAACCTGGAACCCTTGAGTCCGCTCTATCCACTGAGCCAAACCGGTTAGAGCGAGAAACACATTTTTAACTAGTGGTAAGCTTTCTGCAATCTCTGATGAATGGAGATTCCTAAGAGCCAGATTCTATTTCCCTTGGAGACAAAAAATGACATAGCCCCGACCCTTGTTTTCATGCTAATTTAATGATCTTTTTATCAATGTAAATTTTTAAATGTAAATGCTTAAAATCTCTCTTTTTTACAGAATGATATTCACGTCATCTGGCATGAGTCACTGCTATCTGTCTTTGAACATGCAAGAATGTGCTTTGGGTGGGAGATAAAGATTTTGATTGATTGATTACTAGGCAATGTTAAATGTACTAGGACTACGTCTTTTCTTTCCATTGAGTAAATTTAAAACCAATTGATTCCACCATCTACGAGTAGCACTTGAAACTTGAGAAACTACTCTGTTTTCATAAATTAATTGAAAATTATTAGTGGAAGGAGATTATTCTTCTGCCAGCATTTGAAAGCTATGAACTTGAACAGTGCCCCTCTTAAATTTTTAATGCCGGGAAAATTGTAAAGTGGAAAATAAGACTTCATTGATAATGCTGCTTTCACTCGGCAACTGAATTCTTACTTTCTTCCAGCTACTTGATAAATACCAGCTGAAAATAAAAGTGCAGGACATGAATGGCCAACATTTTGGCTTGCAGACGACCGCGACCTGCATCATTTGCATTGAAGACGTGAATGACCACTTGCCGACCTTCACGCGCTCTTCTGTGAGTACATGGTCTTAGTAGGAGAAAGATGTGCCACCCGGTGTTCATTGCTAACGATGCCCATCTCCATCCCTGTCCCGTGATTCCAAATGAGGGACCCCCCGGCGGCAGCATGGAGTTGGAGTTTAAGATCATGGAAACATAGAACTTCGGAAATGAGAAGGAGCAGGCTTCCATCACGTGGTGTTCTGTTTTTGTGAGTTACTAATTCATTTGTTTTGTTTTGTTTATTATTTTAGTATGTGGCATCGGTGGAAGAAAATACAGTGGATGTGGAAATCTTACGTGTCAGCGTTGAGGATAAGGATTTAATTAATACCGCTAATTGGAGAGCTAATTATTCCATTTTAAAGGGCAATGAAAATGGACATTTTAAAATTGTAACAGATCCCAAAACCAATGAAGGGGTGCTGTGTGTGGTTAAGGTAAGAATAAATTAGTAAATTAGTTGTTTGTAGCTTATGATATTATAGATTAGTATAGTAGAGTTAATGAAAAGAAAGGAATTTTGGTAAATGTAGAAATAATATAGGTATATAGGAAAATGTAAATGCTATGTTCTTCATACATAATGGGATGGATATATCATTTTGGGAGCCTTTTTCTTTAAATGGAGGTATAATTGACATAACATTATTTCAGTTTCAGGTAGACAACATACTTGTATGTATTGCAAAATGATAACCACAATACAGTCAAGTTAGTGTCTGCCACCACACATACTTACAAGATATTTTTCTTGTGGTGAGGACTTTCAAGATCCACGCTCTTAGCTACTTTCAAATATGCAGTACAGGATTATTAACTCTAACCACCATGCTGTACATGACCTTCCCACGACATATTTACTTTATAACTGGAAATTTGTACCTTTTGGCCAATTGATTCAATAGCCCATAAGTGGCACTTTAAATTTCAGAAGCAACCCTATTTTCATAAATTAATTAAAAATGACTAGCGTGAGGAACCTTATGGAAAGTCACTATTTAAAAATAGGTATAAATGTATTCAAATAATATGATAATGGTATCCACGGTGTAGTCAGTGTCTCTTAACAATTGAAAACCTCATACAGCTGTGATGCCAGGGGACAGGGCCAGGCGTGCCCAGCCCATCGCCCTGTAGCTGGGGCAGGAGCCTCCACTTACCGACTTTCCCAGGTGACGAGCTGCTCCTGGTCACACCCACAGGGAGGCTGCTTGGAGAGCTTCCCGCGTACACCTCATCCTTAGTTTCCTGGCCGTTCAAACATGTGAATACTTGTACACCTTCTTTGAATGCTATTCTACAGCAACTCTGTAGAACTCAGTGCTCATTCCAGGGCCAGAGTGAGCGCATACAGTGATCTGAGCCTCTTCAGCTTAAGACAGAGTCATAGGCTGATACCTGCTGCCTCGTTAACTAGAACACCATTCAGTGCTGGTCTGTGGGGTTTCCCTTTTGTACATAGTCACGGGGAGCATGGATCAAAAATGATGAATGCGTTTTTCTCACAATGATGACAATTATCCGCAGTCAGTGAGTGGGTTTTCTTGGTTTCAAAACAGCAAAGAAATGTCCTTTAAATCTTGTCTCTTTCTTCACCCAACAACCCCTGCCCTAATCTTTGGTATCTAAGAAGGGAATGTATTTCTGTGCAGTCTAAGGCCTGACATTTCTGTCCTGTAGGAAATGGTCTCACCCATTCTCATTACAACTACACATCAGGCAAAATAAGAACCCTCCATTCAACTTCGTACTTCCAGTTTTTTTGGAAAGTAATTAGGATGAGAAAAGATAAAAAAGCAAAGTGTAATGTCTAAAAGCTTTCCTTCTGTTTTCATGTTTTTTCTCTTTTTAAAAATCCTATATAATAAAAGCTAATATGCTGATGTCCGACCATTCCACTGGTCGCTGTGATGTGTACTGACCACCAGGGGGCAGATGCTCCAACTGGTGGGTTAGCTTGCTGCTGGGGTCAGGCCCATCAGGACTGGGCGAGATAGGCCAGACACACCCTGGGGCCCTCCCCATCCGGCCAGCCAACCTCCCTCTGTCCCTCCCTCCCTGGCCAGCTGGCCTTCATTGGCCCCCATCGGGACTGGGCGAGACAGCCTGATCGCCCTGATCACCGGTCAGTCCAAGGGACCCTTCTCATGCACGAATTTGTGCACTGGGCCTCTAGTGTTTTATAAAATTTGACCCATGTTTTCTACCTCAAACCAGGTTCAGATCATTTTATTCCCCTCAGGAGCTGTCCCAAAATTAAAGGAGTAGTAAAGAGCTGTTGGTTAGTGTCTGGACCTCCTACAGCAGTGATGGTGAAACTTTTGAGCTCAGCGTGTCAGCATTTTGAAAAACCCTAACTTAACTCTGGTGCCGTGTCACATAGAGAAATTTTTTGATCTTTGCAACCATAGTAAAACAAAGATTTATATTTTTGATATTTATTTTATATATTTAAATGCCATTTAACAAAGAAAAATCAACTAAAAAAATGAGTTCGCGTGTCACCTCTGACACGCGTGTCATAGGTTCGCCATCACTGTCCTACAGGAATGTCTCAAGTGCTAACCTTGAAGCACTTCCATTGACTACGTCCTGACATTGGCGTCAGGAGCTATGATGTCCCTGGTGTTACGTCTGCAGCTGGGGAGCAGGGTTTTTGTTTGTTTGGTTTTGTCTGTTTTGCTGGTTTCCCCCAACACTGAGTCAGGTGAAGGAGCCCTCCTCCCACCACCACCTCTTTTCTGAGTGCGTGTTTAATGTTCTCCTGGCGATTCCCAGCAGGGCGCTGCCACGTTTCCAAATGTAAGGAGTGATGCGCACCGGTTGGCATGGCCCAGCATTCAGTGTCTCGGCCTGATTTTCAACACACTTGCTTTTACAGCCGCTCAATTATGAAGAAAGACAGCAGCTGACCCTGCAAATCGGCGTGGTTAACGAAGCCCCGTATTATAGAGAAACTACTTCAAGATCAGCCATGAGCACGGCCACCATCACTGTTAACGTGAAAAACCAGGACGAGGGCCCCGAGTGTAGCCCTCCGGTGCAGACGGTGCGGATTAAAGAGAATGCGCCCGTGAATACGAAGAGCCCGGGATACAAAGCGTACAACCCAGACACACAGAGTAGCAGCGACATCAGGTGTTTATTATTCCATGAGCTCCGAATTCACCCTGGTTTTACATTTATGATTTAGTATTTTGACACCAGGATTGTAATTGGGCTCATGGTACATTCTGTTATTTTAATTCCTTCTTGGCAGGTATAAGAAAATTAATGATCCGAAAGGGTGGATCACGGTTGATGAAAACACGGGATCAATTACAACTTTTAGAAACTTGGATAGAGAGGCCGAGGCCATCAGAAATGGTGTCTATAACGTTACCATCCTTGCAACAGACAAAGGTAAGAACTCGGCTTTTAAACCAGCCGCGGACATTTCCAAGCCAGCGGTGTACATTCTCAGGTGTATTTCTCCCCAGGTGGCATTTTGAGTCATCGAGACGTTTGCTGTAACTTATTAACTCCTGTCTGCTTTCGAATAGCACCCTCAGTTTTAGATGTCAGGATAAAATAACAGTCACAGAAATGCTTGGAACTTTAATGACTTTTAAAAGTTAAGTATCCATTAAATATTGAGAAATTGACAAGTAAAATTAGCTTCAAGTTATGTAGTCATATCTCTTAAAATATTTTGGCAGGAAAATTCATTATAGAGAGAACATACTTATTGCCCCACAGTAAAATAAGAAAATATTTTTCAAAAGTCCTTGTTCGTATTCTCTTCCGTCCTCCTTTTAAAGATTAGTCAAAACTCATGTCCATAGAAGTTTCTGTGTCTATTGTAGCTGTTCAGTGAATGATGAATGACAAATCTCAATAGCAGTGATTGTCTGTGCAACCCATTTGAAAGGTGCCCAATAAATATTTAAATAAAAATGTTAATGCATAATTTCCTAGTGAAAACTCAAAACATTAAATATTGTATTTTTATATCCAATTTCCTAGTTGGAAGAACATGTACTGGGACACTGGGCATCATCCTTGAAGATGTGAATGATAATGGCCCAGTGATACTCAAAAAGACGGCGATCATCTGCAAACCCACCATGTCCTCCACGGCGATCGTGGCTTTTGATCCGGATGACCCTGTGAATGGCCCACCCTTCCACTTCAGTTTGGAGGAGGATTCTGATGCAGACGCACAGAGAGTGTGGGCGCTGACAAAGATCAATGGTATGGGTGTCTAAACATCTGGTCCTTTTCAACATGAGGGTGTCTAAAATATCTTTTCCTTTTTAATGTTTGAAATTAAATTTCTTGGGGTAACATTATATGTTTCTGGTGTGCCATTAAGTCTGATCTCCTCCCCGCATCCTAATATATTTGATGCCCGTTAATCCTGTTCATCCTCCGGCCACCCTGACATACTTCTTTCTTGTTGAGATAGAAGTGGGAACCACCAATGAAACAGGCAGGTTTCCCGTCGGTGTTAACGTGAATTCTCATTTTCATTCTTGCTCCACATCCACACACCCATAGGGTGGGTCTGTGCCATCACTATTGTTTTCTACCTGGGATTCTCCCCGAACTTGGCTCCTAGTCTGTACTTCTGACTTTAAGCACAATCATCTCTCTGCTGATAAGATGGTGAAAGTAAAAGGGACCTTCTCCATACCCCGTGGCATCACCCCCTCTGTCAGCTCTTAACACTTCAGCAGCTTCTCCATCTCCTGACTGCCCCGCCCCAGGGCCAGGATGCTCTGTCTCCATCTGCTCCCCCTTTCACGACTCCAGACCAGTACAGCTGAATGGGGTTTGTGTTTAAAATGCCCTGGAAAGATTGTCAGTCCCGTGCTTTCAACGACTACTCCTCAGCTTCTCATGATGGCAAATTATAAGAAGAAAGGGCGTGAATAAAGGGAAAGGGAAAACAGAATGGAGGAAGAAAAGTAAGGTCGTATAGAAGCCATAGTGGCAAGTCAAGGCCCTGTGTCTACAATCATGTATAAAAGGAATTATGCCCTGAATGCTTATATTAAACTAGAGGCCCGGTGCACGAAATTTGTGCACTGGGGGGTCCCTCAGCCTGGCCTGCCTGCGCCCCGCAGTCTGGGAGCACTCGGGATGTCGCTGCGCTCACCAGCCATGAGCCGGACTCAGGGCTTCTGGCTGAGCAGCACTCCCCCTGTGGGAGTGCACTGACCACCAGGAGGCAGCTCCTGCATTGAGCGTCTGCCCCCTGGTGGTCAGTGCATGTCATAGCAACCAATCGTTCTGCCCTTTTGTCGATTTGCATATTAGCCTTTTATTATATAGGATCATAAGGATTTGTCAAAGCTGTGATAAAAACCAATCTCTGAACAAGTTTACTAATTAGGAGAGAAAGACTTTATTCATGACAGATAAATATTATTACAAAAACCAGAAGATCTTTTTAAAAGGGCAACGGAGACAAACATTTATATGCAATATGTTTGCAACGGCTGTAGATGAGAACCATTTGGTCCATTCACATTTACCATCTCGTAACAGCTGTGCCCATCAGGAATATCCATTTGTAGGGAAATTTGAGGACTATCCTGTCATAGTTAATTATGCTCTGGAGAAATCGATGACATTCTATGACGCTTGGTTTTATTATTATTTTTTTTTTTTCCAGATACAGCAGCACGTCTTTCCAATCAAAATGACCTTCCGTTTGGCTCATATACAGTCCGTGTCAGAGTTACAGATAGACATGGCCTGTCACACACCACTCCCTTAAATGTCATCATGTGTGACTGCATTACCGAAAACGACTGCACGTTCCGTGGGGTTCCCAGGACCGGCACCGGGGAGTTCAGACTTGGAAAGTGGGCCATCCTCGCCATCCTGTTGGGCATAGCCTTGCTATTTTGTGAGTCCCTTCTTGCACTCAAATAAGAGCCTTTAAAATAACTTTCCAGACACATTCTGAGAGCAGCACTGTTACCTATAGCTGTTCACTTGGATATAGCTGGATGCCCATTTAACACACATATTTAATGCACATATGAAAGTGCATTCTGTTATCTCAGCGTAAACAAAATTTAACACAGGAACTCAGCATGCGGCGTGCCTCTGGGCCATGTCTGCGGAGGGTGTCTGTTCTGTACTCTGATACAAGCTATCGGGAATGCGTTTTCTGGAAAGCTGCCTTTGTGGTAGTCGTCAGAAATCCACTCCTCCCGCCGTTTGATGTTAAACTCAGGGAATCTCCCTCCTCCCCTAGGCATCCTCTTCACCTTGGTCTGCGGGACGACTGGGGCGGCCAAAACGCCCAAAGCCTTTCCTGATGATGTGACCCAGCAGAACCTCATTGTGTCCAACACTGAGGCTCCTGGCGATGACAAAGTGGTAAGTAGTTTGTCTTTTTTTTTTTTTTAATTTAAATATTTTAATTGATTTTTAGAGAGAGAGAAAGGGAGAGGGAGAGAGAGAGAAACACCCATGTGAGAGCGCATTGATCGTCTGCCTCCTGCCCGCCCCCCACTGGGGATCGGGCCTGCAACCCTGGCTTGTGCCCTGACCGGGTATCGAACTGGCAACCTTTCAGTGCACCGGACGGCGGTTCCCAACCCACTAAATTTAAATATTTTAATTGATGTTTAGAGAGAGAGAAAGGGAGAGGGAGAGAGAGAGAAACACCCATGTGAGAGCGCATTGATCGTCTGCCTCCTGCCCGCCCCCCACTGGGGATCGGGCCTGCAACCCTGGCTTGTGCCCTGACCGGGTATCGAACTGGCAACCTTTCAGTGCACCGGACGGCGGTTCCCAACCCACTGAGCCACACCAGCCAGGACTGTCTTTTCTAAATAAATGCAAAGGGTAAATTGGCCTAACCAACTATCATCATCTTTTTCTGAACAAATGTCTTTTGAAATCAGGTAACTTGCTATATATAAATGTCATCGGTCCCATGGAACATATAAAATGACATCGATGCCCGCGGCAATAGATGGCATTTCAGTGTAGCCATACAGTGTTACTTAATAGTAAAAATCCTTGAGCCTGTCAGCACTATTTTCTATTTCAAATGTTTCATGATTTCACCTTTATATGTACATATATATTGAAATCGCTGTTTGTGTTGTAAAAAGGTTTCAATTAATTACAGATCATTAGCATAATTATTTTAATTTTATTTTTTGGCAACAGCACTAAACTGACTATAAGCTTTGATCAGCGTGAGAAGGACTTTAGTGGAGTCTTCCTGGCTCCAATGTGGGTTGGAAAGGAGTCTCGGGTCTCATATATGAAACAGCGAGGCCAGCGAGTGACCCCATGGCCCCGGCTTTGATGTCTCGCCTAATATGTCCACAAGGAACAAGTACATTCCCTGCAAAGGCATAATCGATGATGAGAGCTGGAGAGATTTAGAAACAAAAGGGTGTTGGCATCTAGGAAGGTGGGGAAAAATGAAACTCGGGTTCTCTCTGACAACACAACATAGCAAATCAGCGGCAAGCTCTGGGAGCCTCTTTCCCTGCTGATGTATTTTTATTTATTTAGATTGCAAAGATTCATTATTGCAGCTAAAATTCTTGTTGTTGTGAATCCTCACACGAGGATACTTTCCATTGATTTTTAGAGAGAGTGGAAGGGAGGGGGAGAGAGAGAGAGAGAGAGAGAGAGAGAGAGAGAGAGAGAGAAACATGCATGTAAGAGAGACACATCCAATGATATCCTCCCACACGTGCCCAGGCCACAGCTACTCTTTTATGGCCACTTTATTTCTATTATTCTTGTTTTAGTTGAAGGGGAACCAGCTTTGACACTGAATAAAAATACTGGTCCTCACCTCTGTTTCCCCTAGTCGGGTGGAGGGAGTGGCTTTAGACTAAGCAGGGTAAGCCCATGTGAGACAATAGTCCTGGAATCCTGGTGGCGAGCGGGGAGGCGCTGGAGGGTGTTAACAGATGGAGCTGGGCAGCCTTGTGGGAAGTCTCTAAGGACAGGGTACACAGTCAGCGTTCCGATTTGTCTCAGGTCCAGGCCACTCCACACCTGCATCTGCGGCTTGCCTGGGACACTACGTGAAGCCTGGGTTACCATAGCTGGAGCCTCAGGGTTGCCAAGGCAGGCTCGGCTCCTTCCCTCAGAGAGCTCACCTTCTAGCACAGAGATCATCTGCATGCTGTGTTCTTCTTCTCCTTCTTGTTCTCCTCTGTGGGTCCCTGACGCAAGCTGTTCTGTTGCAGTATTCCGCCAACGGCTTCACCACCCACACGGTGGGCAGCGCGGGCGCCGGGGCCTGTGGCACCGTGGGATCTGGGGTGATCCACGGGCAGGAGACCATCGAATTGGTGAAAGGACACCAGACCTTGGACTCATGCCGGGGAGGCGGGCAGCACGTGCGGGAGCCCTGCGGGGCAGGACCCGTGGAGGTGGACCCCGGCAGATACACCTACTCCGAGTGGCGCAGCTTCACCCAGCCCCGCCTCGGCGAGGTGCGTTCCCTGAGCGGCCTGCACACCTATTGGTTTCTCCTCAGCTGTCTGAATGATTGCAATTGAATGGCCTAATTGAGTCTATTTTTTAATGATTAGTCTACTAAGTGGAAAGCTGTTTTTCTTCGTTTTGATTTAGTTCTGCCAAGCGGATCTTTGCCTCACATGTTGTTTGGCTTTTAGTTCTTCCCGAAATAATGTGAGATATTTAAATTATCTTCCTCATGGAGTTGTGTGTATATTTCCCCTTGGGAAATCGTGGCTTGGACATCAAAAGTGTGGTATCAGACGATCCCAGCCAGCACGGCCACCAGGCCTCTCTGCAAAGATCTGTGCAAGCATCCCTTTGGGATCAGCTGAAGGGATGCATTTCCCTTCAGCCATAATTTTTAAAGGGAAGGTGATGATCGCTTGAAATGATTTCTTGTATCCTTGTGCCCCGTGGGTGGCTTTTAGAAACATGCTCTGTCATGAATGTACAGTGTGATTAATGATACAGACCAATCATGTGCATTTCTTATACGTAGGAATCCATTAGAGGACACACTCTGATTAAAAATTAAACAATCGAAGGTAAATCAAAGCCATTTTTTTATGTTGGTCAGTCTTGGTGTTGAAAATGCTAATAATAAAAGGCGTTGTGTTCCCCCCTTGGCAGAAAGTGCAGCTGTGCGATCAGGATGACAGTCACGAACACGCCCAGGACTACGTCCTCACCTACAGCTACGAGGGCCAGGGCTCCGCAGCCGGCTCTGTGGGCTGCTGCAGCGAACGGCAGGAAGACGATCGCCTGGACTTTTTGGATCATTTGGAGCCCAAGTTTAGGACGCTGGCAGAAGCATGCGTGAAGAGATGAGTGCATCCCGATAAGTCTACCAAAGCCAGTGGCTTTAGCGCCTTTTCTTTCTTTTCATTTTTTATTTTTATTAAATTAAAGACCAGGGTTGGGTTTTTTGTTCTTGTTTTCAATAGAAGACACTATGCTTGAGTGGGGGCTACCCTTTTGTTCTGATGGAATGTCTGTCGAGAAATGCACAGTGAGGGAGAAATGCTGTGAGTGAGTGCACACATTTCTCAGGGCTTCACATAGTTTTCAGTTACTTGTCTTCCACCCCAAGAGACCCACAGAAATAGGAAGATTAAGGTAGTCTGCGTTATTGTTTACATTTTGGTATAATGACAACAACCACTTTACAGTGCAATAAAAATGATTAATGTAAGTCTTGATCGTAGGCTACTTAAAGTATTGCCTAATAGAAACGTTGTGGAGACCTTGCTTTAACGTCATCTCCTGTTACCTACTTAATTGTTTGTGTGGTGCTCGAAGACTGTTGTACTCCTAACCACTCTAAAGTGTATATATATACTGTTTACTGCATTATTGATGTTTTTTATTCTTACAACAAGACCTTTCTTCAAAATGCAAAGGGAGATTCCCAACCAGGCGTTGACTGTTATAACTGTTCCATTTTGGTCGAGTTGAGTTTCTAGGTTGTATTCTGTAGGAAATCTTGCACTGAGTCTATGTTGCCTCTGTTTCCCACCTTGTCAGCAAAAGTTAGGTTTAAAAAGTGCTTTAAGAATGTATTTTTAGCCCTACCTGGTTTGGCTCAGTGGATAGAGCGTCGGCCTGCGGACTGAAAGGTCCCAGGTTCGATTCCGGTCAAGGGCATGTACCTTGGTTGCGGGCACATCCCCAGTAGGAGGTGTGCAGGAAGCAGCTGATCGATGTTTCT